GAGACAATATCAGAACTTGAGAAATTCAACCTTGATATCTCGCCGGTCGACTGGTTACGACAACGTCTTCACGAGCTGATGCAAGCCGGGGGTGCCAATTTCAATCTACCAAAGATAATCCATGACTTCTACCATGACTCAAAGTTAACCGCTCTTCGCTACAAACATGGCTTCAAGAATATCGGACGTCCTTCTGGAGTTATGAAATCGCGAATAAGCCATGGTAGCCCCAGCACTACACCGAAGCCTCTCCAGAAGAGGAAGTCTATGCATTCAGGTCCCAGCACGCCTCGAGAGGATTCTTTTATCGAACAGTCCCCAATACCTAGTCAGCTACCCTCAACGCTCCCAGCAGTCGTGCCAAGTCCTCAGCCAGCCTTCAGTATCCATCTGAACAAGCGACCTAAATATTTACCACCTATATCGGGTCCGGTTCATGACGAATTTCACTTTGAGGCTTGGTCGGATACAGATTCGTGCAGTGGTGGTCAAATCACCAAGTATGATTGGCGCTTAGCCAAAGTCAAGAGTCGTCTGTATACAAGTCACAGCAGCGTCACGCAATACTGGACTTGGATAGATCAGATACAATGCTTCCAGCACCAGGTGCTCAGAGACATGCATCCTGCCAAGTGGGGACTATTTAAGGATAAGATCGATTTTCATGTCTACCTGGATGAGATTCAGGAGATGGTATGGAACATCGAGGCGCTTCGTGTCCACATCATCGTGAAAGAGTCAGAGAGCGTTAATGCTCCGGATGGTAAGCCCCGAGGAGATGTGATGGCAGCTTTCTCGCGAGCACGCACGATGCGTCGATTTTTGTTCTTTTGCAGAGAGAAAGGGGTTCAGATGACAAAACACTCTATGTAAGCGAACTCCTATGACTGATACTAGGGACAAAGCGCTAACGGGATATTTACAGTGAGGACCTTGAACGTCGTTGGCAAAGCATGGTCTCGGAACAATTGCCAGGCCGCGGTGACTCAAATCAAAGATTGGTGGAATCAGCCTGAACAGACGCAAGAGAAACGCCACAAGAAAATGATGTCGATACCCCCCTTAATCATAATTTCCTGTAATATTTTCTTTTCTTTTCTTTGTTCTTAGTTTAGAGGGAACCGTTGTACGCAAGCCAACACTGGAAGTTGCGTACTCGCATGGGAAGATTGTTTTGTTGTCGTTTTTCACCTTGTTTTCGCTTGGGATCTAGGACGGAAAAGCGCCATTGGTGGAAGGAAGGATGGGAAAAGTGATACTAGAAAGGAGTTCTCTCAAAATTCAGCATATCGCTTTCGTCGTTCAGCGCTGAAAAGATAGTTATCAGACATAACAGTATTTTCTGTTTTATTGTACAAGAAGGCGAATTACGATGGCCAATTATCTTGTTCTTATGTGAAGTTCCATTAAAAAACCTGTCCCAGATTAGAGACCCTATTATCGTCTATAGTGTTACCGCTTTCCTATCCGCAGAGCCAAACCGATCTTCAAACCACTCCAGCAAGGTACATTGTTGTATATAAATTACATAAATCCAAACACATGCTGCTCGCTCTTCTCTCGTTTTCTTAGCGTTCGCGTTGCTCCAGATATCATGCTCAGTGTTGGAGCTGTAGGTATGGGCGCAGGCTTGAACTCGCCGCTACCACCCATCATGCGATTCATCAATGCAGCTCGACATTCTTTGGCTTTTTCGTCGCGATACTCTAATTGGGTTGCTGGCGGTTCAGATCCATTGCCCGCTCCCTTGTCGTCGTCGTTAAACACATCGTGGGGCTCGGTAGCGGAACGCGAAGCGACACTGCTGGCATTTGAGGCGTTGCTGATTGCGCGCCCGAAGAGCTGACGTTTACGAGGTCGCGAGGGGACGTGATCGGTATCATCGGAGGCGAAAGAGGGGATGCTTGGTGTTGTCGTCTCGATGAGTGATGTTAGTTTCGAGGAGAGAGCTTGACGTTCGGCAGCTTTAGCACGAACGTGTGCTTGCTCGGTGTTTTGTTGTTGCTTCGTCTCTTGGACGTCGTCTTGTAGATCTGAAGGGGGACTTCCCGTTTCTTCATCATGGGGGTTTGTGGTAACGGGGTCGGATCGGGTACGAGGCAGTGCTTTTTGCTGTTTGGTAGGTGACGGAGACCCATTCATACGTGCCTGAGGGACCTTTGAAAGGGGAATATCACCGAGAGGAGCATCAAAATCTTTATCTTTAGGCAGACTATTTACAGCCGTAGGGTGCGTGCGAGCTGTGACAAACTCTGCTGATATAGTAGAGTCTGATACGGGAGCAGCTTTCGCAATGGACTTGCGTACAGACCTCCCCTTTTCTGCTGACTCGTGAGCAAAGGCTGTGGTGTCAACTCTAGCGGCAGGCGGAGGCTTGGGCGTGTTGCCCTTTGTTGGCTTGGGAGCAGGTTCTGAAACAGTGCGTTGTATTGGTTTGCTTTGTGTTCGGGCTACAGGGACAGTCTTTGGCGCTGCCTTGGAGGGTGGCTGAGACGTTTCTGAATATCTGCTTTTTATCTCGGGAAAGATATAGTCGTCGAGGGGTACCTTGAATCCAGTAGATATACATTCCCAGAACCAATCTGCCGATACTACGGGCACACCCCATCTAAGAGCCATGCGAAGCTTCTCCCTACGCATGGAAGCAAGGTTCTTACATATTAGAACACTTGTGGTCTTGCGAAACTCTCCTTCGTATTTGGCTCCCAGCTGAGCGGCAGCACGGGCGACCTGGTTGAGCTCTATACCAGTGAAAGCGGCACTGCATATAACGAGGTCGGCGAATGCCGGTATGGGAAAGAAAGGGAATGGTCGACCAAGGACGTGCTCCGTAGGGTCAAAGTATTGCTTGTTATGTAGGCATTTTTCGATGTAGTATTCCGTTACAACGTAAAGGTCATCGTAGGATTGTTGAGGATGGGTATCTGGCTGGGATATTTGAGGGACAATGAGAAAGCGGCTCCGAGGCGGTTGTTGACTCTTGCCCACACCAGCTTCATTGAGTGATTTGCAAACAATGGCTCCGAGAGTGGTAAGCGTTTGCTCAAGTACAGAAGTCCTTGACACGGTAAAGCCGTGTATGTAAAAGCGACAGTTTGCAAAGATGCCCTCATCTTCTAGGACGGGTGGAATGGGCGGTTGAGGCTGAGGTTGGGCTTCTTCGTGCTGGGGTTGCTGCTGCTGGTTTTGATATGCACCTTCTGCCTTGTTCTCTTGGGCGAAGGAATAATCTCTTGACGTTGATCGTCCAAGGATATCACCCCACATGCTATTTCGCTGTGAACTCAATTTCATACTGGCAGTTTTCCTGAGCTTCCTAGGGCCCTCCTCGGCGCCGATCCCCATGGCAGACTTGGATCTTTTGCTCAGCGAACGCTTGAGTTCTCTGGTAACCCAAGCACCCTTCCCTTGCTCGTCTGGAGGTAATGTAGGGTCGAATTTGGATTCTTCAAGAATCATTCCCCGCGCAATGGATTGGTCGAGCCAAGCGAGCGTGACAGGGTAGATGTCCCATGCTCTGGCCGCAGTATATTTCCTACCCTCGGGTTTGTGGACTATGAGGTGGGTGCATTTTTTCGTTAGGTCGCCGGTAAATACTCCTCCGTTTGATGTGATCTTTTTTGCAATGTCGCCTCTTTGGTCGCCGAATCCTGTTAAACATATGCGCAATGGTTCTCGTACTGGCTCTCCCTCGTCTGGTTGAATGGCAGGGTCAATGCCTCGTTTTTCTAGAGGCTTGAGCTGGTACTTGTTCTCGAGTTGTCGGTAGTTGATCTCGTCGTCGTTCTTCCATAGCTCGCTAAGAGCCTCGATCCAGGCGGCGTCCATGGCCTTGATATCGGGGCGTTCACGGGCAACATGGCGATATTTGGGGGTGTTGTAGTCTCCGACAATAAGATGAGTGACGTCTGGAGTAAGATCGTATTTATGAACACCTCCCAGCTCGGAGACTTTGGCGGCGATGGTGGTCTGGATCAGGGATAACACATTAGTACACAGAAGAGACATGATGAGGATGGGACAGGATGGAACGGCAACTAACACGATGCTCAGCAGGAATACTTGTACAACAGACAACGATGCCCTTAAGAGGTTCCGCCGGATCAATTTGTATATCTTCCTCTTCGGGCGCGTGTAACGAAGCCATCTTCAATTTCTCTCCAATAATGGTTGCCGTGGAGTTGCAACTTGGACGTCAGGGCCGGTGCTTTTATTGATATCAATCTTTTTTAGAACGCGTCGTGAACCGCGTCAAGTGCTTAAGTGAGACGTCATGACACCAGGCGGGGCTGCTATGGCCAATTGCACTGTACAGATCACGTATCGCATACTTCAAATTGCGCTAGCCCATACAACATACAGTGGTGGTAGTGATCAGGAATCGACTTTGACGGGATGAATTCCATCTGGAAATGCATTTTGTTGATGGTAGCTAGCTAGAATCTAATACTAGTAGCCACCTACTAATGGTGAACTTTTTAACATTCTACATAACTGGCTTTAAGGTGCGCAGAATCACTTCTTTGAGCCATAAACTGTGGACTCTACCCAAGTGCATCAAAGCTGCCCACAGCATTGAGGCCAAGCCCCGCCCATCACCTAAAATCCAACCCCACCATCAGCTAGTACCCAAGTTCGTAGCCTTGTCGCAACCGAAAGTAAAGCTCAACCCCTCCACCTGCACTTGCTTGGTCTTAAACTTCTTCTGTCTTTATATTCATTCATTCGAGCTCACTTTTCAGTCTCTTGACCTTCTCCCGCTCCCAACCATCAGCCACTATTCGATATTCGTACGCAACGGATATATCCGGGCAAGATTACGCAGTGCATCACCACGCGATCACGACTGGCTAGACCCCAAGCCCAACCACAAACATCGTCGGTATTGCATGTCCATCATACCGGCCGGCGCTTGACTACCCCGACTACCAATACACGCAGACCGGCTCCGATAGACGTGCAGCGCTTCGACGATCCCTCTCGGATCAAGTTTGCCCAAGATGCCTCCACCATCTGCAAACCAGCAGAAAGTCCTCATCGCCCAGTTCGTATCTCTGACTGGCCAAACAGAGCGACAAGCCACCCGAGTACGTCTTCCTCACGACTGCCTTTCTTCTTTCCAGGTCACAATGGCGATCCGGCCCTGGCTACGCATGAACCTCATGGCAATCCAACACTCTGCACAATGCGCCCCGGCCACAAGGCGCAGCGGTTCGGGTTTCAGCGGTGACACGGCTTAGCCAGAAACAGTCGGACCATGATGCTGTATGAGGATGGCTGTGCTAACGTTGGATCGACAGTACCTCAAGAATGCTGGTTTTAAGCTTAACGAAGCAGTCGATGCGTAAGTCCTTTCTTCCTCTTTTTGTACCTGTCATGATATGCATATGTCTTCTCGGCCACTGGCATGATTCTTCCACTGCAACCCAATACGGAAGTATCTGTATCGAGCATCCTCCGGCCGTTGTTTACAAGTGTATCCCGTCACGGTGGCCTGGCCCACTATTGCCCGGATACACTGCAGAGTATGACCGACAAAGACGCCGAACATTGCGACAAGGTTACTGGGGCATCTTGTGTTAGTGAGGGGTCTTGAAAACGTTACCTCGAAGGCATGTTGTGCCTATGCCTATATCGAATCTGCGACTGCTATCATGGGGGCCACATGGAGCCTAGCATCCATGACCGGATTTGTACAAATTCCTTGTCTCCTGTTCTCCTAACGAACTTGACCTTGCAACTTTGCTAGAGACTTGCACCCATTCGATATCTTGGAGCCTACATACTATTACAAGCTTCAAAATGGGATGGAAGGGTGTGAAGAACCGTATTGCGACCCGGGTCCCCATCTGGTCTGCATCAAAAAAGGCCAACACTGATGAACCTGCATCCTTCTACCCAGAGCCACCTGCGAAACCACCCAAGAATTCAACTTCTCGGTACATTGTCTCCATATGTCAAGCAGTTGTGCCATACTATATAGTGGCCGAGTCGGCGGTTGCTGGCTCGTATACTATCAAGCACCATACTGATATCCTGCTCATCTTTCCTTCTTTATATCTCGTCCGTTATGCATCAGCATTGCTAACGTAATTCGAATAGATACTTTGCCTCCAACGGGGATAGCAAAGGACCATCACCATTGGAGACGAAGCTCGATGCGTTGTTTGGCCAATTGCAAGGTACATAGTTTTCTAATAATACGCCAGGTTCCTGAGCTAACATTCCCAACCAGATACCAATGATGAAAAGGACAAATTGGAACTCGAATCTACAATGTCCTATCTCACCGATAAGCTGAAAGTCAGTATTGAAAACGCTGAGTTGCTTGTTGCCCTTGAACTTCTTCAGGCTCCCGCGGTTGGAATAATCACCAGAAGAGGCTACGTTGATGGCTGGAAAGTGACCGGGTAAGTGACATCATTTGGGTTACCAGCATTTCAAAGGCTTGGACCAGCTTCTTGCAGGAGATTCAAAGCTAATTTTGTTATAGAGCTGGGGCAACACACCAGGAGCATGCTGCCCACCTTCGGAAACTAATCAAGTCTCTTTCTTCCGATCAAGCACTTTTCAAGAAGGTTTACAGGCATGCCTTCGTTGCTGGTCGAGAGACCGATCAGAAAGCCCTTAGCCTCGAAAACGCTTTCGTGTACTGGGAGATTCTGTTCACACCTCCAGGCATGGAATGGAAGACTTCGAACCACGACTGGCTTCAGCTATGGAAGGATTTTCTCAAAGCCAAATGGACCCGTTCAGTCAACAAGGACATGTGGAACATGACTCTTGAATTTGCTCTCAAATCAATGTCTGATGAGTCGCTATCATTCTGGAACGAGGATGGCGCCTGGCCCAGTGTCATTGACGACTTCGTGGAATGGTGTCGCGAGAAGGGCATCGCTAAGGCCGATGGCATGGATGTCGACCAATAGGTGTTGGTTGACTTGGACCAACTTAACCTGTATCACCCACAGGACAAAAGTATATAAAGGCTTGGGTTGATGTATCAGGCGTGGTTCTTACATACCATCGCGCAAAGGCACATTCTTCAGGCGCCGACCAGAAACATGGGTAGTGGGTTGCGTTTCTAGACGAGACGGCGTTTACCAAGGGCACTCGAACCATTGGTGTGGCAGCGATTGATGACTTATGATAGACATGTAGCAACAAAAGAAAGCGTATCCAATTGTTGCGGATTCTTGCTCCTTGTCTCGGCTTCAATTTCACCAACACCAGGCGATACTATGAAATGCGGGTTTTGGACTTCTATAGTACCTATTCATGTAACCGTGATTGCTGCTGTTCTTTAATGCAGCATACCTGTTGTACACGGCATCGTGCGATGCCTGAGCTGGGAACTAGACTCTCTTCCAAGCCATAAAGCCCATACTCTTCGTTGAGGTTTCCTTTGTATCATGCAGCATGATATTTCTCCCTCTCCTTGCCATTAAAGTTGTTTCCCCTCCATTTGTGACGCCTGAATCCATTGCCCCTCCTTACGCCTCGCTGCCTGTCGTCTTCCACTTGGGCGGGCCAAATCTGGCAAGGGAATCAAGCTTTCCGTCACCGAGCTTGACATGTGCGGCGCGAATCATACGTGGCTCGAGGCGTAGTGTGTTGCGAACATCATGGTGAACCCTTGCGGCGGCGTCATATCGCATGACGAAGTAGTGGCCGTGGGTGTGCTTCATCTGATGCACTGAGATGGGCTTGGGTAGCGAGAAGACACCCCAGTTGGCAAGACCGCGGACGACTCCACCATTCTTGAGGACGAGGGAACCGACGGTTTGGGCAATTCTGCGATAGTTAGTTTAAGGCTCGGTATCGGTAGGTGAGTCGATGCTGGAAACGTACTCCTTCACCTCTGAGAGGCTGCCAGGTCGGACCTGATTTTAGTCAGTTTGTGCTCAGTTTCAGATCAGAGATACGTCAGTAGACGTACAATGGCAATCAATTCGTAGAGCATCGTGGTGACGGCATCTACGATCAGGATAGTAATGTCGCAGATTCGATATAGAAATCGCTGGATAAAGAGCTGATGAATTTCTGGTGGATCTCGAATTTTGGGCCCCGAGGATTAGCCATTCCATCTTGGTGGCGGAAGCTTCATTACAAGTGGGGCGGGCAGTTGGTCACTTTAATGAGACACAGTCTAGAGCGCATGACATTTCCATGTCTTGGCCACTCATAATTCACCATAATGTCATGTATATTATTCTTTTCTATAGTACAAAGTTTTAGTACACTGAGAGTATATCTCAAATATGTTGTAATTTTAAAAAGTTCAGATTCGCTCCTTTGACAATGCCTGCCAAATACTCCAGGGCACTTTCCAACCTGCTGTCTTGACAGCAAATGGGTTGAAGTCAGCTTGCTCCAGGCGCTGTAGGTACTGGGTAGAGGGAATGGCCTCAAGTAGCACACTAAAGCCTTGACGAATTTCGTTTATTGTATCGCTTCCCTCGCCGTAGAAGTGTTCGCCTTCGCCTTGATGCTCAAACTCATGGCCAGGGTCCTCTCCCGCTTTCAGTCTTTTGAGCATTTCTCGGGCTGTGATGAGATGGTCGTTGGCCCGAGTCGCCACCTGAAAAACAGCATCTTGTAGGCCAGGTGCGTTGGGACCCTGTCTAAAAACCTCCTCCTCCTTCACTCCAGCCTCAGCCATGGCGTCTAGCGGAAGCAGGATTGCAGGCTCCCGTGCAGGAGGAGCCTGGCCAGAAGGTGTGTTGATAGGAGGCGGCGGCGCTGCTAACACTGGAATTCCGCGTAGAACTGCAGTGATACCACAGGCCTTTCCAATGTGACTCGCGAGATGATCGACGTGCATCGACCTAAGAGGTAGAGATGCCAATGTCGCATACATAAGAGTCGAATATGTATTCTCGGCGTATTCCTCCAAACTCGACAAGGTTGCAAAAGGTCGATTCGACATGTGCTTTTCTCTTGTCTTTATCAATCTAGAAATCCAAAATTTTATTGACTTCTTGGCTGAGATGCCATCGCGTGCCTCAAGATCTTGCAAACATTTGTGTAGGAGAATGCAGATAGGTTCGCGAGGGGGGCGGCCCGCGAAGGTGTTGTCGATGGACTCCTGCCAGAACTTCATGCGGAAGGCTCCAATAGTAGGGTTAGAAACGAGCTCAGGGAGACGAACAAGCTCAAGGTTGAGGGTGCGAAGAACGGCGTAAGTATCTTGCACTGGAGAGGGGACGAAGCGGCGGATGAGATGAGCATCATAGTCGCTATTTCTAAGGAAGGTTAGGATTGTTTTCTTTTAATTAAAAATCTACTCGACTCACTGTAGTTGTGTAAGGCAGTATCGTCGTGCGGATTCAACATCAGCACTAGTGATATATGTTCGACGACATGTTCGAGCATGAGTAAAGCCCCGGAGCCCTTGGCCCAGAATTCTTGGGCGATACATTAGGACTTTACCCTCAAGCGCTGTAGATTATGTATAGACTTTTGGGAGCTATTGTCAACTCAAATCGATTCAATTGATCGTTGTATAACGAACAGTGTTCCCTGATGACGGCTTATACGCGACCACCCATAGACATTGGATTTCCAATCGCTATAGGGAAATTTTTCCATGACGTCGAGCGCTCCAAACCCAACGCCACGGCAGGCATTAGCCACATCGATTCATTAACAATGACAAGACGGAAGGAACCACTTAAACACGGGATCAGGTGATTGTCCTATACGCGGGTCGCGCTTGCAGGGGGTTCGTCGCGTTTCCCAGGGTCATTCATTGCTTGGGCTACAAGATCCCAACCAAATCTTTGAAGAACACTTTCCGACCATGAAGCAGCCACTTGGAGATATGGCTCCTTGGCACCCAGACAATCAAATGGATCCTGAACCTCCCACCAAAAGACGGAGGTTTTTCGTCGACCCTGAAGAAGCTTCCTCAGACCCAGTTGCTCATGACAGCTCCCCGCTACCACCGCCAAAACGCTTCTTCAAAGATGAAGACGAGATAGCTCTAGAAACCGAACAATTGGAAACAATAGCCGAGAACCCAAATGATGAAACACCGAAATTATCCCCCACGGAGCCTCCAGCTTCCCAGCAGGAGTCATCTGTATCCTTCGACCAGGAGACATTTGAGGCTTTCATTGGCGACAAGGTTTCGGGGGATGTTCTTTCTGCAATCAGAAGTAATTGCGGAAATAACCTTGAGCGAGCGGTGAATATGTATTTTGATGGAACATATAAAAAGGTTGTGAAGAAATCATCACGACCAGCAAAACAGACCGCCAGCTCGAGTCAGACCCCCAATGTCCCCAGCGAACGAAAACTCCCCATTCAAACATCTAAAAAAATGCCGAACGAACGATATATAGGAGCTTTCGGAGTTGAAGGGTGGGCGACACGAAGTGGGACAAATCTCCTTAAACATGGCGACATTGTCAAGATCGAACGGCAAAAGCGAGCACCTCCACCTACAAAAGCCAAAGGAAAAGCTGGACCTGTCACTCCATTGAAAGGCTTTGGGGGCGCTGTGAAGCGACAAGATGTTGTTGTGCGCTTTACTACTCAAAGTGGCACAGAAGTCGGACGACTGGCAAGAGAGGCAGCGAACTGGGTCTCAGCTCTGATAGACGAGAAAATATGCAAATTTGAGGGAACTGTCGTATATACCCCTGATCGACTTCGAACAAACGATACGATATTTCTCCAGTTGCGCTGTTCGTTGCTTAGCTCTGCTTTCTTCAGCCGATCGTTTCAGCTTGCAGACGATCGGTCGGCTGCCTTCTTTGATCAAAACGAAACAAATGATGAGAAAACACTAAGGATGCGACAAGTGGCTTTGGTGAAGTTATTCCAGGAGATCAACCTTCATCCTACCTTGACGAATTCCGCTACAAAAGATGGCCGTAAGGGGCTGCTCCGGGCTGCCGAGCAAGACGAGGAGAAGCAAAAGGAAAGTAAAATGTCGAACGGGAACGGAAACAGCAACGCCAAGGAAGTAAACTCGTCTCAATCATCCGATACAGAAGAGGGAGAGGAGTTGGAACAGGGTCAGCTCGATGCGCTTTACAAAAAGGCTCAGTCGTTCGACTTCAGCACCCCAGAAGCGGAACCAGCAGACACCTTTGCTATGACACTTCGTAAATATCAGAAGCAAGCGCTACACTGGATGATGGCCAAAGAAAAGGACGAAAAGAGTCACCGAGAGCCATCAATGCACCCACTTTGGGAACAGTACGATTGGCCACTGAAGGATGTTGACGAGAACGACCTGCCGCAAATTGAGGGACAGTCTAAGTTCTACGTCAACCCCTACTCTGGTGACCTGTCGCTTGATTTCCCAGTACAGGAACAGCACTGCCTCGGCGGTATACTTGCTGATGAAATGGGTCTCGGTAAAACAATTCAGATGTTGAGCTTGGTTCATACGCATAGATCCGAAGTTGCTCTCGAAGCTCGCCGATCAGCTGTTGCACGCTCAAACGTGAACCAACTTACAAGATTAGGCAAGAACTCAGAGTCGGTTCTTGACGCGCCATGTACAACATTGGTGGTTGCACCCATGTCGCTACTGTCCCAATGGCAAAGCGAAGCGGAAAAGGCTTCAAAGGATGGAACGATGAAAACTGAGTTATACTATGGTAACGAAAAGTCAAGTAATCTGCAAGCACTCTGCTGTGCATCCAACGCGGCTAATGCTCCGGACTTGGTTATCACTAGTTACGGTGTTGTTCTGTCCGAGTTCAGTAGCTTGGCTGCTAGGAAGGGGGACAAGAGTTTTCACAACGGACTCTTCTCACTGAGGTTCTTCCGCATTATCATCGACGAAGCACATCATATCAAGAATAGGTCATCCAAGACAGCAAAAGCGTGCTACGAGATTTCGGCCACCCATCGATGGGCCCTGACTGGAACTCCCATCGTAAACAAGTTGGAAGATTTGTTCAGCCTTGTCAGGTTCTTGGGTGTGGAACCTTGGAACAACTTTTCTTTCTGGCGAACATTCATTACTGTACCTTTTGAATCTGGAGACTTCATGCGAGCTTTGGATGTCGTACAGACGGTTTTAGAGCCTCTTGTGCTCCGACGTACAAAGGACATGAAAACGCCCGACGGCGAACCGCTTGTGCTCCTGCCACCAAAGCAAATTGAGATCGTTGATGTGGAACTCTCGGAGACGGAGCGAGACGTCTACAATTACATCTTCAATAAGGCGAAACGAACATTCTCTCAGAACGTCGAGGCAGGGACTGTGATGAAGGCTTTCACTACCATCTTTGCCCAAATTCTGCGTCTTCGGCAGTCATGCTGCCATCCTGTTCTTGTTCGCAACCGTGACATTGTGGCGGATGAAGTAGAAGCTGGAGCGGCTGCTGATGCAGCGGCGGGACTTGCAGATGATATGGACCTTGAGTCGCTCATCACTTCTTTCACAGCAGTAACAGATACAGCATCAAAAGAGTCCAACCAGGCCTTCGGAGCTCATGCATTGGAGCAAATTCGTGATGAAGCCGAGAATGAGTGTCCCTTGTGTTTCGAGGAGCCAATGAATGATCAGACCGTGACTGGTTGTTGGCATTCGGCGTGCAAGAAGTGCTTGCTTGATTATATCAAACATCAGACTAGTAAGGCAGAAGTACCTCGATGCTTCAGCTGTCGCGAGCCGATAAACAAACGAGATCTATTTGAGGTTGTCCGCCACGATGATGATCCTGGTATGATGTCGAAGAAGTCCAAGATCAGCCTACAGCGAGTTGGCGTTAATGCGTCTTCTGCAAAGGTGGTTGCGCTAATGTCTGAGCTACGAACTCTGAGGCGGGAACATCCTAAAATGAAGTCTGTGGTATTTTCCCAGTTCACATCTTTCCTCAGCCTTATTGAGCCTGCGCTCACACGTGCAAACATCAACTTTCTTCGGCTAGATGGATCGATGGCCCAGAAAGCTCGAGCTGCGGTACTTGATAAGTTCACGGAAAGAAAAGGGTTCACAATACTTTTGCTCAGCTTACGCGCTGGCGGTGTCGGACTGAACTTAACGAGCGCTGGACGAGTATTCATGATGGATCCCTGGTGGAGCTTCGCCGTCGAGGCTCAAGCCATCGATCGAGTGCACAGAATGGGCCAAGAGTCGGAAGTACAGGTGAAGAGATTTGTGGTTAAGGAAAGTGTAGAGGAGCGGATGTTGAAGGTCCAAGAGCGAAAAAAGTTCATGTGAGTCTGACTTGGGACAAAACAGACGGGGCGCAGCTAACAACGAAACAGTGCAACTTCCTTGGGCATGATGAACGATGAAGAGAAGAAGCTCCAGCGTATCGAAGACATCAAGGAGCTGTTGAGCTAAGTGCGGGTCGCATATTTACTATTACGGTCTGCTGTTGCATGAGGAACGAGGAAATGCATTCATAGGGGCGTCTAGGGACTTGAACGAGACACGAAAAGTGGTATATACGGTATGCTGTGAGGCAGCCTGGTTACAATAATAGAAGACATGGCATAGCATGATGGCGTCTAGTTAGTCAGGCTTGATATCAGATCAGAAAACACCAGCATCTGATGGGCAAGCCTGATGGAGAGTTCAATCACGACAGTTGAAATATTGCAGAATACAATAAAACCCAGTCATACTGGCTGGTCAGATCCTTATATGAAGAGAAACATGGCGATCATTAGGTGCAATTTTTGGGCATCACCGTGTCTCAGCGCGGTCATGTTCCTACATGGCCAGCAAAGGCGCGTGACCATGAACCTAATAAAAGTATCAGCCACAGTCTCAACCATCACGAACCTGACGCGACTCACCTGACTTGGTTCCTCATGAGTTGAGTAGGACTGTTTTGACTTATCCATTCAATCAATTAATCTTGACGTATTTAAATAGAAGAAGGGCCGTCGGGTGGCTGCTTTTACTATGTTGGTGTTGTGTCACAAAATATACAAAGACAGGCGACTGCATATTTGCGACACAAGGTTGTTTGTCCGATTTACTAGTCCATTCATTGCATCTTATTCTGCCCTCTTTTCGTTGGCAATTTTTGTATAATTACATTCACACCCTGGATCATCCCTCGTTCAAGTCTGGAGAAGAAGCCGAGGGATCAAGCAACAACGTTGCTGCAACTCACGGCTTGTTCTCTCGAAACGGCCCAGAGATCAAAAAATATCCCCAGAACGAAGCTGCAGAAACTTCAGTCGAAGTCGTTGAAGAAGTGGTAGTAACGTCTGCAGTCAAAGACAAACTCGAAGACGAGTACGACAGTGACGACGAGCATCATCTTTGCTCATTACTTCTTTACTTTATCTCAAAGACTCTTCTGAACCATCTTGGAGACGAACCGAAGGAACCCCCCATGGATCGCTTTACCGAACAACTCTTTGGTAAGCAGAACCAGACTGCGAGGTCACGACTCCCAGAGGAGCCCAGTTTCATGGAAACATTTGCCAAGAATCTGGCCAAATCTGCTGCAAAATCTGCTGCCAAACGAGCCATGGGCCAGACCTCCTCTGAGAAGCGTACCCGCGATTGGGCTCGGGGTACTAGCAGTAACCAGATCAACCCTGAGGACTTTCGCGGCGTTGCGGAGTTTGTTATTGGTATGCTGAGTAGTAACAGCAAGTCCGAACAGCCCAGAAAGGGTGAGGACGATCGAAAGAAGGATAGAAAGAGGAAGAGGGATAAGTATAAGGACCGGAGCAAAGAAGTTCCGAGGAGTAGGGATGTAGAGGATGAGGGTGAGAAGTATGGATCGGATAAGGAGAGGCGCAAGAGGAGACGCCATCGTGTTACCTTTGCAGAGCCGTACTATGAAGCTCGTCCCCAGGAGGAAACTTACTATCCACCACCCTACGAGCCTCGCCGTCGTCGCGACCGACCACATGAAAAGGATCCAAGTCAAACCCAGGGACAGGAACAGGGCCAAGAACAAGAGCAAAGACATAGCCGAGGTGAATACGACGAGATGGAAGACCGAGAAGAACGAAGGCGTCGTCGTCGCCAACGCCGCTACAAGCGAGACCTAGACCTCAAGACTCTCAAGACAGAGCTAGAAGCCATGTCGAGCACCATAATCTCTCTGAATGCGCGCGGCGCTAGTCACCGCGACTGCGAGTTCTACGATCGCTTTGTTCGAAAGGGCGGGAGACTGCAGGACGTGATCGGAAGCACACTGGGTCAGATCAGGGGATTACAGGATGGTGATACAGAAGCGGAGGAGAGGCGACGGAAGAGGGATAGAAGGAGAAGGGAGAAGAGATGATGGGTATGTTTTCCTTGAGTTTCTATAGAGTATACCTTGTACAGTTTGTTAAATTGTTTGTGGTTATGATATGGTGGGTAATCTTCTAGAATCCATTTTGTGTTACTACAAAGAACATCCGTCCATAGGTTAGGCTCCTCTCTTGACGTGCATACCGATGGTTTGGTATTGTGCAGATGTTTGACCAAACACCCGCTCGTAACGAAATGGGAACAAAGGCGATATGCCGGTGTTTGTGATAATTGTCAAAGAGTGATGCGAGGTTATGATTGCTAGTGTATCATAATGGAGACCCTTAGTTATAAGGTGTATACACACCTCTCCTATGTAGTGCTGTTTCCTCCTACTCAGTATCGAGTCAAAGGAAGTTCCATACAGTAACCTATCAGTATATTCAAAATGCCTTTCATCAACATCACCCACAACGAACTAGACTAGCATCCTACACATTGAGCTTAGCCAATACCAGCAAAATGGTTCAAATTCCGTCTTTGTCTTTATCGCACATGTTTCTCGACAGCGCCAAACCTCTCCTCCCGAGAAATCCCCACAAGCTTCACCGCCGAGATGCAAGTCCTGGAATTATTGGAATAGTAGTTGGTCTAGCTATTTTGATCACCATTCTAGGAGCCATCTTGTTCAGATGGAACTGGAATCACTTTAAACAAGCAAAGTCTCAAAAGGACCAGAAGCAGCATAAGAAACAACACCACGCTCACTCCCACACTCATCACCACCGCCACTCTCACAGGCGACATCGAGCAGTGGCTCATCACGATGCCGATCTTGAAGAGAACCAACAAGGTTACGGATCCGAACAAGAGGAACAAGATCACTCTCTCCGACACCACCCCGACTGTCGGCATTTTAGACTTCATCACAGACAGGATCCTGCTCACGATTGGACTCCGCAACAGCCTGAACCTGCATTTCATCCTTGGGGTCGACATCGACAGCAAGTTCGTATACCGAATGAGATGGATGCACCTCAGATACATAGAGGGTGGGAGAGGCCCAGCTTCTTTGGGTAGAGAGGTGATAGGCGGGACAGAGTGCCGTGTGCTTGACTTGTATATAATTTAGAGAAGTCGCGAGAATTATACTTGGGAATTAAGCAATGTGAAGTCATGGGACTGGATGGACTTTAATAGATTTTACAAACGGGTTGATAGGGTACATTGATATATGAAGGATTTTGACACTACTACTTTGCCAAAGTAAGGAATACAACACTAATACGCTAAAATATATATACACGGGACGGGAAACTATAATACAGCATTAGCCTTTACGTCTATTGTAGCGGTTAGGTCCGAAGTAGAGACTAACTAACCGAGTAGATAAAATTTTATTCCTCCATCTTTGCTACCCATCTGCTGGTTTATCCTTAGGCGGAGGACTGTCATCTGTAAGGGGAGCAGGAGGAGCAGCACTGTTATCAGAATGCCTTGATCCTCCACTACTAAGCGACGTATGCCTCCTATGATGGTGATGGTGGTGCTGGTGGTGATGATGGGGTCGGTGATGTTTCTTTTTCTTCCTAAAAGTAAACCTCGCAGAGCCGTAGTAAAAGTATAAGAAGGTAATGACGATGGCCAAGAAGGCAGCAAGAGTGAAGCCAACGATGAGTCCAATCTTGATGTTGTTATTCTTAGAAGGATTATCAGAGAACTGTCTCTTAATATGCCCAGTTGAGTATCGGCCAGTACAACTGCATGAACTGTACAGAAGCTTCATGAGTGGTTGGAAAGCGAAGAGTATGGTCTGAAGGAATCCATGGTCTTGGGTATCAGCCACGGAACCGTGCAGATGAGGCGAAGATAGTGGAATATACATCCCATGCAAGCCAATAGTTCGCGAATAAGAAAACGAGTTAAAACATTAAAGTGCAAAAAGGGCGTCCAGCGACACCAAAGTTATACAGTTATTCATTGTGCAAAAACAAAGAGATACACATCCGCTCGGATGAGGCCTGAAGATGAATAAATAAGTTCATCTCAATGAACAAACGTCAGGCAGAAACCTCGAGTTCAGTGTTGTGTTGGTGTGTGTAAGAGAGGATAAAAGGGAAGAGGCCGTTGTTGAGCAGCAACAGTAGATTGGAAGAGGGGATGGTAGCAATGCATATGCCGCTGCAGCCCGACGACATGTAGTGGCTCCCAAGTACAGAGTAAGACGTGAAGACTTGTTCCAATCATTGCATTCTGAGGCGAGGGTTTGTGTATGGGTGAGACTGTTGTGTAATGTGAGTTTTGAGATGATGTTTATGAGAGTCCAAGGTAGGAAGGACATCATGGGGATAAGAGGCTGGTTGAGGGTAGTATAGCCGTAAGAAACAATCTGACAAATGATGCAAGAGTTAGTTTAGAGAACGAATTGCATCTCCAGCTTCCTAAAGTGAATACATGAACGATTGAAGCATCAGCTGTGGCTCACTTGAGTTGACAACGCATCAGCCAGCCATTGAGGCATTTGAGCAACGTCTGGTTACCAATCGTACGACACCATTCACATGTATATAGTAAGACGTGATTGGATGGTGAAATTCCATGTAGAGTATGTACTAACATGAAGATCACTTTGCTTTTGTGAGCCTCAACTCGACAATGTCTCTCGTATATTGACTCTAACAGTTAGCGAATAGACAACGCCATACCCAACTACGATTAGTAATTAACTAAACAACCCCCTGACTCTTGACAGGGGATGGAACCGAACCGCCTCACTTACACAGACACGACAGGGCCATGACTCGGCTCGACCAAAGTTCATCGCTACAGTTGCATCATTACTACAGTATCCATATCACCTGCTGTAGGGTCAGTTCCCACTCGGAAGTTGGCGAGATTCATTCCGCATCCACAGTCTTGGCAAACTTACTACGTACTGACTAACTGTCCATAGTACGGATCCGCCCTATGTTTAGTTTAACTAGCTGATCAGCAGTGGATGAACTCAACGTCCAGCTGGATGTTGGAGTGTTAGGATGACTGATGCAACAGAAATATATATACGAATATGTATACGAATAAAGTACATACAATCATGAGAAAAACTTCCAATTCAACTGGTGATAAATTTACATCAGACTAACTACCTCAGTTATAGACTGACACTGCGTAACTCACTTTGAGTGTCGGGGGCACTATAACCTTGTCCCGCCTCTACCAGTCAAAGCGCAATTACATACAGATTACCGAGACCTACCAATACTACAGTATAGTACATACAGTGAGCCCCTCACTCTTTACCCAGGGGTTACAAACACAACTTAAAGACTGACCTTGCTCTTTCTCCTCTCTCTTTCTCTCTTTCTTATTCTCTGTTGTACTTAACCAATCACTTCTAAATTATATTATTTTGTGTTGCACTGTCTCCGATCGTTACTTCACTCACTCTGTGGCCACTCTCACCCCCATCTGTCTACGATATAATCCAACTACGGGACTCACTCCTACTGAGTCCCTCATCTCTTAAAAACTTATAATGAAGCACAACAACAACGTCAGATTACTTGCCGTCCTCGCAGACGCAGAAACAGACGAAAAGAGCGAATACCGCTTCCTCGTCGACGGCGCTCACGTAAGATACGTTACTCTAGACGGCGGTCTCATCCCCCCGGAAGACCGCACATACGAGCCTATCCTCCTCCCTCAACTCCCCGTCTTTCCCCCAGGAGACTGGAACGAAGGCCGCGTTGGGAAAGATGGCCATACAGGAAAGCCCTTCTTCTGCGAGACCAGGAGAAGTAGTCTCCCAGGCATCGGAAATGTTTGGCATGACACCATGATAAATCACCTTGAGCTCAAACAGCTTGACCGCGTCCGCCAGACCGTCTTTCGCGTAACGCACCCCAGCTTTAAGAAGCCCGTCTTGGCAAAGTTTGCCCAGTTTCCTTGGGAGATTCCCTACTTCGCAGCCGAGACGACCTCGTATGAGTGGATCCACGGCCGAGGAATCGGCCCCGTGTTTCTCGGACACATCCACGAAAATGGGAGGGTCATCGGTTTCCTGGTTGAGGAGATACGCGGTGCGAGGACTGCTGAGCCCGAAGACCTGGTTGCATGCCAGCACAGTCTACGCAAGCTACACGAGCTAGGAATCTTGCATGGGGACATCAACAAACACAACTTCCTCATCGGGCCTGACGGTAAAGCTGTCCTGGTAGACTTTGAGACGGCACACAAGTGCTCAGACCCAGAACTACTGGACGAGGAGTATAGTCATATCAAGGACAGATTAGAGGATACATCAGGGCGCGGAGGGGCAGGAATGGCAAGTGATTCAAGTTCGGATTGAGCTTGATGATGAATGACAGACCGAAAGATTACGGAGTTAAGGACCACTAACATCATTACTTACATTTCTCTCGTTCACGAATTGTTTCACGAGGCGTTTTCTTTTTGATACCAGGATATAGAAGAATTGTCAATTGACGAAATAGAATGCTAAAAAAATGTTTTGGAAAATAGTCGTGCCCTTTTCACTTTCCAAGGGCAGAACCAGGATATATCCTACCAGCCCAAGAAACACCAAAAGCGCCATTTAAACAAGAAGAATATTTGTTAACGTTGGCTTGCAGATCAACTATTTAAACGATCTGCTGAACGTACTGGGGTCCGAATTGAGGCTCGCCAAACACAGAGCCAGGGAGGCTGCCGACGGGCTTCTCAACAAGCTTGCCGTCAGAACCACGCTTCAGAGCGGCAAGACCATTAGGACCATCCTGGTTACCAACAAAGATGTGCTTAGCAGTCAAGCTGAAGCTCATCATGCGGGGCAGGAGACCACCGGAAGAAACGGTCTCAGCATAAGTCAGAGTTCCGCACTCGGCAATGGTGAAGTGAGCAATAGAGTCGGTCTTTTGTCCAGAGACACGGTTGGAGATGTAGACATCCTTGTTGTTGGGAGCAAGGATGATCTCACCAACAGCAGCCTTCTTGATATCCTTGGCAGGAGCATCCTTGCCGTAGGTAGAAATGGACTGGTAGTGTTTGAGGACGAGGGTGTTGGCCTTGTAGGTAACTGAGTAGACGAGAGCCTGGTTGCTCAGTTCACAGGCGATGATGTAATGCGTGGCCTTGTCCTGGCCGCGAGGGTAGAAGACGCCGTGACGAGGACCACAGCCAGCCTCGATGGGAATGTTCTTCTCTGTGAAAGCGTCGTTCTTGGAGTCGATAAGGACGACAGAGTCGGTGCCGAGATCGTTGACGGCGAAGTAGCGGCCTGAAGGATCGAGGTTGGCCTGATGAGGATAAGGAGCATCCTGACGCTCCTTGTTGGGGCCGAGCTTGCCAGGAGACTTGATAGTCTTGATGAGCTCCAGGGCACCATCCTTTGTGTTCCAAACATCAATGGTACCGTTTCCATACGCAGCACCAACCATGCGACTCTTGTCAGAGTTGAACTCGAGGTGGACAACACCAGTGCTGCCAGTCTTCTTAGTCGTAAGATTGAGCTGATTGGTCTTGAGGTCCAGGTTAAAGAGGCGCAGCTCATTCGAGTTCTCATCGACAGCATAGAGCAAGTTGGGCTCGGCAAAGGCCATCCACGAGTTTCCACCCTCAATCTCCTCGTTGATGGTGATCTCGAACTTGCCCGTCTTGGGGGTAAAGTCGGCAACGTAGATGTGACCAGAGTTTCCGAGGAGGATGCGGGCAGGAGAAGAGGCAGATGCCGAAGGGGCAGGGTATGAACTGCGAGCGAATTGGGGAAGGGCTGAAGCTGAAGCTGAAGCAGCGAGGGAGGCCATGAGGCCAGCAGAAGTGAACTTCATGATGACGTTATGTATTGTTAGGATGTAGTTGATCTTTGTACAGATGATATACAGCAATTGACAATCGATGTCGGGGTGGGTATCAAGTAAACGAAAGTTGATAGAGAACCAAGATCAGGAACCAGTCCAATCTTTAATGTAAACAAGAATAGAAATGACGGGGATAAAATGCGTTTAAAATGAAAGGAGGCTGAATGCGGTCAAAGGATTTTGTTGCTGGGGAGGCTGTGAGAAGAAGGGGCGGGGGAATGAAGTATATATAAAATAAAAGCTTTGAGAAAGTAAGCCTCAGCCTCAACGAGGGGGCCAGCAAGTGAACCAGACCAGAGAACAAAAAGGAAGGACCTTAATCCATGTAAATCCATTCATTCTGTCAAGCAGATCCTTGCTTAACTCTCTTTTTCAGAAGGGAGATTCAGTGGAGGCGCATCATCGTGATTGGAACGAGACAAAGAATAGGTTGGCTTTTGGCTGATCCTTTGGATGATCCAGGGGGGTAAAGAAAAGATGCCCGCTATAGCTACCTGATCAAAGAGGCTGTGCAACTTGCACTTCAGGCAGTTTTGTAGGGCTATGGCCACTGAACAAAAGCCCTGAAAGCCCAAAAAGCAAAGCAGCCCAGAGTGCAACATGAAACGAAACAAACCCGCGGTACTGCAAGCCAAGAAAGGTCTATCCACCAATGAAATGCCTCAAGTTTCACCAAAGTTCCCCCTTCTCCAGGGTCATAAGCGCTTAAAAGACTGGCGTTTGCAGAAAGACTGCCAAGATGCAAAAGGATTGGATTAGAACTTTGGCAAACGCACCTGAACCCATGTCTTTGAGGCTTTTTTTTATTGATTTTTGTATGACTGATATCTGCTGATGATGTGTTCTGGATAGGACAGTAGATACACAGTAAATAGGGCTGAAATAATTGCCCGCTTGCAAAAGGCCAATGATTGAACTGGTTTGTACACTGACCATAGCTTTTCTCGAGTCAAGACAAAGAAACGACAAGGACAGGCCTTCATGTAAACAACGATCCTTCTAGTCCTACCACATGACAAACGTGAGATTTTAGTCACCTGTCATCTCAACACGGATGCTCTCATCATGCCATGACGGCCAACAAAGTCTGACCGAGTACTCAATCACAAACATAGATCCATAGCTGACACATAACCAACAACATCCAAGACCACATGATTCACCATGTATAACAAGCCATCCTCCTATCGCATATGCATTTCATACAAAACCACCCATTTTTAAAAAAGAAGATCCATTTCCATGCAAAACCCATTCACCATTATCAACCCTCTACTATCGAAAATATACATTCGAGAAAGAAGAAGAGAAAGCGATTACATACAAAAAGTCTCAAATCCAACCAACCACCATGAAAAAATATGCTAGACAGAAGGGAAAGCGCAGTGAGATGCTATATAATAAAGAGCGGTGAGAGAGGACTCGATGGCAAGGAATCGCAGGACGGAACACTCAGACGAATATGTTGATTACAGCCAGAACAGGGCTCCGCCTGCAATGATGATGGCCAACGCACTCGCACCATTCCTTGACCCAGCGTTGGAACCTCCATCTTCAGAGCTGCTCTTACTAGAGCCTGACTTGCCGCATTCTTGGTTGAAGCTGCTGGTATCACAGTTGGTGGTGTCAGCGGGCTCAGTGTCATCTGTGCCCTCAGGATTACCCTTGGGGGCGCTGCCTGAACTTGAGCCTGAGCCACTACTGCTATCGTCTCCGTCGCTATGATCATTCGCGGGGGCACCGTTAGAGCCACCAGGAATTGTAGCAGGCTCGTCGTCGTCGTCTTCATCGTCGTCCTTGTCCTTGTCCTTATCATCCTTGTCTTTATCATCATCCTTACTCTTATCTTCCTTCTTCTTCTCTTCTTTCTTCTTTCCCTTGTCCATATCCTCACCAGTGGCCATCAGAGAAGCAATAGTGTGTCTCTTATCACCATCGACAATTGTGTCGTTGGTAGCGACCTCGTTGTTGTACCAGTAACTCTTTCCAGAGTTGGTACCAGGAGCAGACTTGGCGTTGAAACACTCAATCTCGACGTCAGAGAACGCGGAATAGTAGTAGCCGCTCTTCTGAATATCAGGATGGTCCCAGTCGATAGGTCCACCCGCCCAGGATACGGTACCCTCTGCGTTACCCTCCTTACCACCGGGCCAGAGGGAGAGCTGGACTCGAGAAGGAGTCTGGGGGAACATGAAGTTCTTGGAGGTGTCGTTCCAGGTGTCTTTCTTGTCCAGGCTTCGACCCATCTTGCCATCGACCCACCACTCGATCTTGTCGGGAGTCCATCGGATTTCGTAGTCATGGTAGTTGGCAAAGGTGTCAGAGAGCGTAATGTTTTCTGAGTTCTCGTCTAACAAATTGTTAGCCATGCATTTCGAACAAATCGATCACGTGAGTATTTCACGCTGTACCACAAACAAGGGGCTACCTTGTTGTGCAACCTTGAAAGCGACTTACAGTTGGTGATTCCCTGAAAATAGTAATTTGTCTGGGCATCGCTGAGCTCAGTACCGACAAATTCGTAGTCGATCTCGTCCTTTACATCAGAGAAAAGAATGAAGGCAGTAATGACACCAGCGCCACGACTAGTCTTGAAGCGAGCCTTGACATTGCCATACCACATGTAGACGGTGGAAGACAGGAGAGTGCCGACACTGTCCTTAGGCATGGTAAGAAGAACGTTGTCCTTGAAGACAACAGGCTCACCCTGCGCAACCCAGTCGGCCTTGTCAGAGTCGCCCAGATATTTGCCGATATCGACAATCCTATCAAGAGAGTTCATCTTCATCTTGCGATCCTGGCAGACGGGAGCAGGGACACAAGAGTCAAGAGAGAAGGACATTGTTGGATCGCAACCACCAAGGCAGTAGGCACCAACACCGCATTCGCCGTAGGCTGTGACATGTTAGATATACAGAGACGTGAGAGCCTGCAGAGGCGACATACTGGAGCAGCAAGGAGAGTCCTCAGGACAGTGACTGTCGCGCGTGCACTTGACAGCAGCGACAGAGCTAGCGCCCAAAAGGGCAGCGACAACGAGTGATCGCAACATTATGAATAAGAAATAAATAGTCGACTAAAAACAGGTATGCTGATGTAGTTCGGTCGAAGAGGCGTTGATACGAAAGCGCCTCCCAATTAAAGATTTGGTATTGATCGACAGGTCGGGTTGAGGTGTCGAATTAAAGTTGTTGTTGTAACGACTGCTGTTTCGACAGAGAAAACGACAGTCAAAACAAACCCAGCAAGCGAGCGACTTGGGTTTATTTTGTTGTTGATTAAGGTGCGTGCTTTGACGAAGCTCGAATTTGCTGATATTCTATCGATCGGGAAAAAAGGATGCTGGAATGCGGGCCGCCGAGTGGTTTGCGCGTCCTTATCGCCTGAATACAACACTTTCTTTTTCCTCCCTTGAATTCTTTCCCACGTCCTTCTCAACGAGAGCAGAAGGAATACGGAAAACGATTGTTGGGTTGAAGAAATTGTCGCGCTCTTCTCGGGATCTGTGATGGATCGATAGTGGAACTAAATTCGTTTTCTGTGTGACAACGAATGAATACGATTGAAAAAACGATTGATGAATGCCACCAATACTATATTTTTCTCCAAAAAGAAAAAGATTGTAAAGGATGGGATGGGATTAGGTAGCAGACAAAACAGCAAGAAAGAAAAGACGAGTCGAGTCGTATCTACACACGCACACGCACGGAGACGTAAGAGAGAGAAATCCGGGGAAGGAGGAGTAGGTAGGAGGGATTAAAGAAAGAAACGAACCGCACTTTTCAGGTCGGCTCTGACACTGGCAATGCGGACCTCGTCTTCTCGTGCCGAGACTCCAGACACAGACACAAGACACAAGCAACACCTTTTTCGTTTAGATGCACTGGCACACTAAACCATTCTAGAGATAAGACACTATACCCGACCAATCATGACTCACTAATACCCAAATTTGGTGATCGGTTCCTTCTGCCATCACGCGCCCGAGACCCTCGACCTAGCCTAGCCTGGCCTAACTCCCCAGCATGGCCCCTGATTTCCTCCATATCAACAGGCGATGTTACCTTCTAGGTCACCTCCCCCGATGCCCTGTAGATGCACTTCGTATTGAGATACAGGTGAACAGACAGACTTAATCGAAGCAGATTCATGCAAATGAGGCTAAATGCTATGCTTTAAATCCTTCATCCAAGAGCCGACACAGCACACAGCATTCTCCCTTGCCTCGCGCTGATTCTCTGCATGCAAAATCCGTACCTTACATTCTCTCTCGTCAACAAAGTTCAACCAAAACGATTGAGTTTGACCTGATCGCCTGTTTACCCGCCGTACTACGATACGACTCTATTGACTCTAGAGAACAGTTCTCAATCCTCTCGATCTCAACAATAGTAAAGGTGAAGACTAACCATCGCCCCAGACTTCAGGTCAGAAAATCCATCCCTGCTCATCACAATACGTACCGCGCCCCCTTCATTCCGGTCCAGTTTTCCTGACATTGCTGGATACAGCACTACGTTGTACCCATGTATAGTATACTGCCTGTAGGTACGTTGGCTTGCATTGTAGGTACTGTCACTAGCAAAACTGTAATAAATCGACGTCTTATAATCTTCCATTGATCTTCGACGCCATCATGCATCGCCGTTTTTGCTTCTGCCTCTCACGTCTCGTCCTTCTGTCACACAGCACTGCCTCTCCCGCCGCCACAAACTACACCTGACAGGTACCCAATAACCCATCCCGTGCAACACCCTGACAGGGAAGAGCAAAGACATGTCATGTCATGGATATCATGAATCCTGGTCGAACCTGCAGGCCTGCCAAACACACATCGCCAGGTTCCAGCAGCTATTGACCTTCCTGGTTTGTCTATCTACTTGGTGATCAATATTGATTGCCACCGATAACAGACAGACTACGTGGACGAATTGACCAACCAAACTGATCGGACAATAGACATGTCCCTCACCAGTAAAAAATCGAATCACACACACATCACTCCAAAGACAAACTTTGTGCGCAAGGAATCAACTCCAGGCATTGGGGTATAAGTAATCAAACCTAAAACGAACAGTCTCATCCTCTCACCAGGAAAAGAGGAAAAGAGAAGAGAAAACAACCAGAAAGCCGTCATCTTCACCACTCCCCGTCTAGAAACGGCTTCATCTTCCTCAGACATCCTTCATCTATCACCATTACACCAATGCAGCTTCATATCCTTCTGCACCTGTTCTTCCATTTTTCCCTCCTTTCCGCGCCATATCCTGATCCTAACCATATCCAGTCCGAAAGAGTGGTAACAAAGCTCTCTGCCATGTCTCATGAATGGTTGAGAAAGAAGTCCATAATTAACAAACATTAAACAGTTTCCCGGGTGTATCCTGTGCAGACGCCACTGCTGATTTTTATCAAAGTTTTGTTGTTTTCCTTTTCCCTTTGCTATAGGTGTTGCATCGGGTCACGAATCAGTTGCAGCGTTGTGGGGTTGTGAATCTTGTGCCCGGCAACGCTTTAGGCGGTTCTACCTTTTGGAACTGTTAAACAGATCTGTTTGTGTCAGCCTAAATAAGTCCCCCAAATCACAGACGAAACTTTGTAGCCATACCCGGGAAATGTTCCTTGGCGTACTGCTCGCAAGCCTGTTTTGACTATTAGCTTTCCGTGTGTCATGCTACTTTTGGGGTGAGTGTTCGTACCTTGGCAGGCTTTCCGACTTTCTGCCCAATCACCTTCCACTTGTTGTTCTCGTACTCCTTAATTGCGTTCAACAACGCTTGACTCTGATGAGGGGGAGGTCAGCTTGGTTGCTCAGTATTCGGGGCGAACGGTGGTTACCTCGTCCTCTGCAAACTCTGCATAATGCATGTCCTGGTCTCGGTTAGCTACTTGAACTTATTTACATAAATAGTAAGATAGATCATACCTTGTACCAATGCTTCTTGACGGATCCTTCCGTGCGGGTGGGGAAAGTCTAATCGTAAGTTAGTATACAACTCATATGAATCAGTATACGATACTCACTTTGGCGATTTCTGCCCAGCTGTTGCCAGCATCTCGCATCTGCTTCAGGCGAAGCTCTTCTTGCGGTGTCCAAGGGGTGTTAGTCCGGCTCTTCTTTGCCGGTGGAGGTACAATAGCTTGTGCATTCGCATCATCTGTAGGAGCTTGAGGTGGAGGTTGGGGGATCACTGCCTGAGGTGCAGACGGAGCTGCCACAGGTGGCTGAACTTGGGAGGGAGTGACAGGTGCAGGGGCGGCAACTGTGACCGGAGGAGGAGCAGCGGAAGGTGCTGGCCGCTTTCGCTGCCGACCTGCCGGAGCCGGTGTAGGCGTAGGTGTTTGCTGAGGCGGCACTGGACCATTAGGGGGTTGCTGAGGGACATTCATGGGAGGTTGAACAGGTGCCGGGTGATGTTGTTGCTGCTGGGGGGGCTGCTGTTGCTGCGGTGCCATATTAGGCTGAGGAGCGTACTGCTGAAATTGATGCTGGTCATTACGACGGGCCATGTCTGTTTGGTACTGGTGAGGGTTGCTATCGAGGCGTGCTGGTTAGCAGTGTTGCCTCATTATGAGACCCTACTAGCGATATGACTGGGTGTGCTATTGAATACTTCCACAGAACTGCAAGCGTTCACGTCATTTCCGTGTGAGCAAGAAGCCTGTGTGTAGCTGCAGTTTGGCGGGTGAACAATTATAGGTTTTTGGAAGGGTATTAAGTGAGGTCGCAAGACACCATTGAAGACAAAAGCCATGGGCCGTGCCAGGACAATGATGCTCGGGCGACACAGGATGTGAAGAGTTTCGCCGTGTGGCAGGTAGAGGGAGCCCAAAGATCATAGGTACAAAGCAAGTCATTCAAGGGCAAATACTTACTGCATCTCATTTGGTTGATGAGTTGAGTTGGAGTAAACATACTCCGGGACGGGCCCGACTTGCCACTGCTGCATGATCTAATGCGACACTAGTATTAGCACTCAAGATTTTTGATAAAGAAAGCAACATTATATCCAAGTCGTGAGACGCTGACGCGATAGTATTGCAATACAACAAGACTTTTGATAGCGCTGACTGGTAAGTCGACAGTACCAAGGTGGGTCTGCAATACGCGCAAGCTGAGGGCGACGCGACCAGGGTCTGAGCTAAGCTGAGATGAGTTGTATCATTGTCAACATCAGGACCTCAAAACCCATGAGCAAACAACTCCGGCCTTGCACAGATGGTGCGATGTACCATACTAAGATCTGCCCGTACAGTATCGGCTTTCTAGTCTGTTGCGGAACGGTAGTAGTTCGTGGGCACTAAGGCGCAAGACGAGACGCGACGGCGCAAGACGCGAGAGGTTCTCCAGAGATTGAAGCTTGGACTTTGCAAATCCAATAATGATGATGTAAAAAAATGAAATGGCATTTACTCACGGGCAAGAACTTGACAATGGCTGCGTAGGCAGAGTAGGTGCTGGTGACAGAGAGGTGGAACAGCAACAGGTACAGTTTCGCGTAACAAACTGCCACGAGACAAATACACACAAGAGATGTGTGAGTGTGTCTGGAAGTATTCGAGATGTTCTCTGCTGGGGGGAGCTAGGGCGTAGGGGAAACCCAACCTCGTGTTCTGGTTGGTAAATTTTCAGGATAAGATAGGGTGAAATGCCGTCTTTTTTTTTTCAGTCTCCACGTAAGTACCAAGTAGTCGCGGTGCTTCTGCTTTGTATCTTTATTCTTTTTCTTTTTCTTTTTCTTTTTCTTTTTCTTATCTGGTCGTTAACTTTGTGGTTAGTGAGGGCTTGATAAAGACGAAAAGGAAAGAAGAAAAAGTTTGAAGTCTCAGTAAACGTCATGCTTTTCGAGGTCTCTGTACCAACGTGCAAGTCATATGCATTACAGCGTTGGTGTCGTGGCCGAGGCAAATACAGTGAATATTTAGGTTCCCCGTTCTTTTTCGGGTGGTTGGAGAGACTTTGATGTGAAAAAGGATTGGTGCTGGGGTTATGACAAGCCAGACAAAGTGTATACGCGTAGCATGTATGTGTGATAAGGCGCGGCCGCGTGT